CAAAAGTTTTTAGGGTCCATTTTATATAGCTTAACTAAACACAAAGGGCCTCAAATATTTTGCTCTATACTTCGCAAAAGTTACGATAGAGTTTTAAATTTGATACAGTTTAGGGGTTTCATGAAGAATCAGTTGTACAAAGTATGTATCAGGTCGGTCTAAATTGATGTAGTCCCTCAAATGATTTCTTCAAATGTTGGTAATTTGAGATTTTAAGAAGAACAACACATTCTTTCAAATTTGGTATAACCCTTATATGAAGGTATCCGCTGATTTCGGCTATTTCCAGCGTCTTGGTCCCATTTTTCAATTGATTTTACCCTTATTTGACATCTTAGCTTCTAAGGGGGTAGAAGACCCCTTTGCGGAAATTTTTTTGATTATATTTTCGAATCGATTTGGCTTAAAATGTTTGTTAGGCTAATTTGGGGGTAGATGGGCTTTTAAAAAACAGTTAATGTATACTTTTTAATACATGTGATCTATTATTTAGGTTTTAAACTCTCAAACTAAAACCTGTGGCTGAAAATACTTATGCTTTTAAAACTATGCATTAAAGACTAAAATTACGGGCCTGCAACGCGGACCGGGCCAGCTAGTCACTTATAAGGAATTGTGTGAACAATATTTAAAAAAAAAAAAAACAGAAGGATGACCTTCTGGATTATCTGCAAAAGGGTGTTAATATCATTGACGGCACATATCGTCCAAAAGATATTGCTACAATCATTTAAAGGAAAAAATTAAAGGATTACTGATATCCTTCCAAGAAAGATTACTGATATACTTCCATTCAATTTAAAATTTGATGCAATAATATTTGAGAAATTTACTGGGGAAACTATGCTGAAGTATGGATGGGAAAATATGTTTACAACAGTGCACAAAATCCTAAACAATGGAAGAGACGTCATAAAAACATCACGAAATTGTGTTAAAGGAGGTTTATTTGAAGGTTTTATATAAAATTTATAGAAACATCAAGAATTTCTTTTTTTTTTTAATTTAAAAAATGTCACTTTTACAATAAAAAATATAATATTTTCATTGACAGTTTTGCTTTATTACCATATACTTTTAATTTCTATTATACTTAATGTATTGGAGTATAGCATTTTCCAATAAGTAATGGGATATAAGACACAAAAACAACCATTGATTGATGTAAAAAAAAACACAAAATTTGATCTTTGATAGTAATGTAGGGGAGTCGAACGGCAGATATACCAAGACCAAGCATATGTCTCCATTTTCTAATTTCAGTATCGTCGCTTCCGACGCGGACAACTCTGGATTAAAGGAAAAACTAACGTGTTTATGACATAAAAGGTCATCGATCCTCGATGTGTCTTACCTTTGATTATTCTGTCCATCAGAAAGTTCGATGCAAACTCATTCCGATGAAAATTGATCTAGATGACACTGATAATTTGTTTTTTATTAATTGGGCTTCTTGGGAGCCGTTAATCTCTGTTTCTGTAGACTTCGACCATGTGTCCTGCATTGGCATAAAAGATGTATGCCAATTCTTTAAGTATTCTGTCTATCAGAGCGTTCGTTGCCATCTCACTCCCATTTGGATTGATCTGAATGAGCAAGATCATTGGTCCTCCAGTAATCGGGCTTCTTAGAAGTTGCCCCAACCCTTAATAAAAACAGTTACCCTAGTCAGGCTAGATGCCACAGTCTTCTTCACCACCCTCTGCTTTGCTTCTTCGCATCGGGGGTATGCTGTCAACCAATAACATGTCCCGTTTTATCTCGCAGCTTTATAGGATGCAAGTCTATTTTACTTCCAAAGCATGCATTAAAATGCACTTGGAACCAGATGCAAATGAGGGCCAAGGTGTAATGCAAAAGTATTCCCTTTTACTATATATTAATGATTTAATGAAAAATGAAATCCCTTCGTTAAAAGAAACACTCAAAATAGATTTAAATCAAATATAATTATTTATTCAACTGAGTAAAATTTCAAATTTCACTTCGAGTCAACTGAACTTTCATTTCCAAAGGAAATGATGATGATTCTGGATCAAATGCCACTTCCGAAGCCAAATTAACCTTTCTTGCAAAAGGCACTGAGGATTGAAAAGAAGTCACTGTATTTGTCACTCCCCAATATTTAAGCAAATCTTTATTTTTCTCTCTTTGCACCTTTTCTAGATGAATATTGCCACAAATTTGAAACTAAAAATAATTTTGGGTTCACTATTTTCTACAACACATTACAACATTAGTTTCAATTTTATTTTTATTTATTTACTGGCGTATGGTATTACGGTATTAGTTAAGCTGGTAATATCTAATGGAGTTGCATTACCAACCAGCATAATGAATGCTAGAAGGCTGACACCTTATATAGTCGGTGCGATAATAATTAATTTTTTAAAGACGGTGAGTGAGTAATTCTTGATTTGATATTATTGTGATTTTGTGATTACTCACATGAAACTTGCTCTTACGTATTTAAGCCTTTTACTGTATGGTCTTATGAGGCGAAATGCTCTTTGATTCAGAAGTATTTAATAACAGAGAAATATACGAAGACCTGGACCTGCATAGACAACTTTCTGTCATAGGCTGTAGTATTCATTACGAACTTCAAATACCGAATTTGAAACAATTCTGGTAAATAATGTCGCTAAAATCATCAAAATACCGAATATCGGGAGGTACCGTTATATGGAGGCTATACGAAGACGTGGACCTGCACAGACAATTTTCTGGTATCCATTACGAACTTCAAATACTAAATTTGAAACAATTCCGGTGAATAATGTCGTTAATATCATAAAAATACCGAATAAAGGGAGGTACCGTTATATGGGGGCTATACGAGGACGTGAATCTGCACGGACAATTTTCTGTCTTAAAATACCGAATATCGGGAGGTACCGTTATTTGGCGGCTATATGAAAATGTGGACCTACATGGCCCATTTACGAACTTAACCTGCCTACTGGCAAAATAAACATTTGTGCAAATTTTAGCCTTCTATCTCAATTCGTTCGAAAGATAACGTGATTACAACAGACAGACACACAGACGGACATTGCTAAATCGACATAGAATTTTACGCTGATCAAGAATATATATACTTTGTTGGGTTTTATATGAGTATTTCGAGGAGTTACAAACGAAACGACAAAGTTAATATACCCTCCATAGTATGGTGGAGAGTATAAAAAGGACTTTTTTGCCGTAAATCTACGTTTGTTTGAGCTTTATGAGTTATGACTATATTAATAACGTGAATACACTGACATAGCAACCAGATAGAATATTTTTTTCTCTTATGATCCCCGGAAAACTAGGGTCTTCATATCCAAAGGAATAATTTTCTCATTTCCTGCATATCGTTTAGAATTCTGAAGAATACCGCTATTTTCATACAAAAAATTGTAAAAATTCAAACAAATGCCTAATGTTTGAGAATAGAATCCAATCTCTCTCTTCGATTGTCAACTCTATTCTCGGCTATTCGGCTTGACTGGAGCAATGTAGAGTGAGAAAAGAAACATGACCGCTTCGCTTGGGTGTAGATTCAATTCTGGTTTTTATTTAAAAATATGTTCCTTTAGTACTACTGAAACTAACTTAACATAATCGCAGCCACACAATTATTCTTATCTACTCTAATATTGAAAGGAGAACTTTGCAGAGCTGCTTGTCATTTTATTGTAGTGGTCTTGTGCATCTACTGAGCGCATCAATATCTGTGCGTGTGGATCATAACCTTTATTATCTCACATTATCGTATGCGTCAGGGCAAAAAATCACTGAATTGTTTACATGTTGTGTTCTATGGCAGCTGGGAAATATGTAATTTTAGAGTATTTATTGTTTATTGCTAGATTTTCCCAGCGCATCAACCGCACTCAAAATATGTACAAAGTATTTTGTACACCTAACTACTAACATTTTACCGAAGATGTTAAATCATTTTTAAAGCGGGCGACATTTCTGGGAATGAATTTAGAATCTCAAAATGGAGAAAAATATATAAAACTAGCTGGCCCAGTCCGCGCTGCCGGCCCGTAGTTTTAATTTTTAATGCATAGTTTTTAAAGCACAATAATTCTCAAATCTGGCTCACATAGATGGTACAATTTTTTGTATAAATGATGACTCGATTAAATATAAATAAATACGTCTTTCAAAAACCCTGATCCTATTTTTCAGTAAGAGGTTTTAGTTTTTGAGTTAAAAACCTAAATATTATAGCACATATATTAAAAGTATACATTAACTGTTTATAATAGGCCCATGTAAGATGGTTCTCTACCCCAAAGTAGCCTAAACACACATATTAAGTCAAACAGATTCGAAAATTTAATCAAAACCTCGAAATAGGTAAAATCAGGAGGTATTTTTATATGAGCGCTACTCCAAAACATTGATGCCAGATGCCAAATAAGGGCAAAATCAATTGGAAAGTGTGACCAAGACCCTGGTAATAGCTAAAATCACCGGACACCTTCACATAAGAGTTATAATGAAGCATGGTCCTATTCTTATAATTATTTGAAAGAATTTGTTTTTTTTTATAAAATCTGAAATTACCAACATTTGAGGAATGTGAAAGGGGCTATATCATTTGAGGGGGGCTATATCACAATGTAGACCAACCTGATACATATTTTGTACAAATGATTCCTCATGTAACCCCTAGGACTGTATCAAATTTAAAACTTTATCGTAACTTTTGCCCAATGAATTTTGCGTTTTTAATTCTCCATATCTAAGCAAAATCGAACATTTGGGTATGGCAACCATATAACAGCATGTATGGAACATATGCAACTTTCTCGATTTTTTCGGTTTTTTTCAATAAGTATTTTCAATTTCAAAAGGCATTCTGAAACAATTCTACACAAAAATAAATAAATAAATATATATATATATATATATAATAACATATAGCCGAACAACTCCAAAACTATAAGTATTTCCAAATAAGGCAAACTAATTCACACTAACATTTTTATTATATTTTAGGTTTGGCACTAACGTTGATTTATCTGACGAACGAAAATGGCGTCCACAACTAGCCGAGCTTCAAAAATTGCCTGCTTTCGGCCGTGTTATATCTGCTGCAAATATGCTCTCTCATGTTGGCCATGTTATATTGGGAATGAATACAGTACAACTTTACATGAAAGTGCCAGGAAGCAGGACTCCGGGGCATCAAGAAAACAACAATTTCTGTTCAATAAATATCAACATCGGGCCTGGCGATTGTGAGTGGTTTGCGGTCCCTGACGCTTACTGGGGAGGCATTCATAATTTATGCGAACAAAATAACATAAGTTACTTACATGGATCTTGGTGGCCTGTATTAGATGATTTATATAAAGAAAATATTCCAGTTTACCGATTTATACAACGACCCGGTGATTTGGTTTGGGTCAATGCTGGGTAACTATTGAATTATTAAAAATAATATTATCTAAATAGCTCATAAAAAAAATTTTTGTTGGGCATTAATAATCTCAAATGATTCATAGTGAATAGTTTTTCATCCGTTTTTTTAAAACTACATAATCTCAAACAAACTTAAAAAAATGTAAACGATTTATGGGCAATATTATACTAGCTCGTCGATTATTACTGCTGTGTTTAAGAGCTTATAGACAATACGGCTGTTACCTAGATATAATGGCGTATCTTATTACATTCATTTGCCATAATGCGACTAATACCTCATATAGTGTTCTCTACCCAGACTTCTCTTAGCAAAATTCACCATTATTTTAGTTTGTGTATGAATTTTGGACAGAAAATTTCTCATTTTAACATATTTCAATTCATCATGAAAACTGATGAATATCATAGATCTGCTTAACTGGATTTAAAACATTGTTATAAAAAGCACAAAATGTATCGATTATACATTTTACTATTGGATTTCCTTGCTGTTCAAATGTTTGTCATTTTAATACCGTCCAAAAATTGTTTGCGATAAAACTACGAAAATAAAGCATCAATGTTTCTTCTATTCTAAATGATGTGTAAGTTATAAAAATGTGTATTTCTTCCAGTTTAAAGTTGGTGGTATCTGTTTGTCATTAATTGGGTTAATAACTTTGTTTACCCGTCTACAAGCAGCAATGACTTTGTGAAATAAAACGTTTTTTTGGTCTTAAGCAAGTCCACGTTGTTGCTTACATTTGTTGTCATTTTTAATCAATACTCGTAAACACTGTTACAAAATTTCACTAGATGTTCAAACATAGTGAATGTGTGTTCGAGCAATGACTGCAGGCATTAATAACTTCATATTTATTCAGTTGCCATCTTGGGCTATTGTTTGTCGGAAGTATTATTATTTATCTGCGAAGTATTATCTAACTGGAAGTATTATCTAACTGCGTCGACGGATAAATACCCTTTGAAATGTTAAATTAAAGGCTCCTTGAGGCCATTGACATTTTGTCTGCAATCTTGTATAATATAACATTTGTTATTGCAAACTAATTAAAATGTATTATGTACATTTTAGTTGTCGAATTGTTGAGAATATGGAATTCTAACTTTTAATATTGCAATTTTTTTGCAAAACTATCTTAGAAAGTCCATATGCAACAATAAGAAAGAATTGAGGATGAACATTGTAAAATATAAGCCGTGATTTTAACACATCAACTTATTATTAGCTAGATTTGTCTATAGCGATCATGAAGGTATTTCCTTGCATGTCTGGGTGGAGGTGTCAATTCATATGCTAGCCATTGGGAAGTCTGTATTGGATTACAATTTTATTGTGCTTCTCCACACCGGAGTCGCATAGTTTTCCACAGGATGGTCTTTCGCGTTATAAGACAGCAACAAGGTTTGCTTATTAGCTCCCCTAAAGCTGAAAGCAAGTGAATTGAGAACAGTGCTCCTGCATTCTAGTTCCTACAGCGGGATCACCATGCTCTTTCTAGTTTTTGGGAACCAATAGGATGGCTAACGACAAGTTGAGAACTTTGCATAAATACGTAACATACTAGAACCCAAACTGGATTTCTTTGAAAAAAAGAGCGAATAAAACCTTCGATTGCCGTAGTAAAATAGGCCATTAGTAAGGTATATTAAGGTAAATGTCGTATTTATCTAGCGGAGAATTATTTATATCTAAACATCTTATATATAAATATATAAAAAATGTGTTAGTTACTACGCTTATGACCCAAGAACCGCTGGTCTGATTTTAACTATTCAAACAAATTCAGAATTCTCTCTTGGCAGAAAAGGATAAAATCCAAAAAAAAAAAAAACGTAAATTTGAAATTTTTCTTTTTGCCTTTTGGAACGTACTAATCTTCTTCTTCTTCTATATATATAAAAAAAACAATTGTTGTTCGTTGGTAATGGAATCAGTTGAGAACGGCTGGACCGATTTGCATAATTTTTTGTACAAACGTTTTTCATACCCCGAGTTAGGTTTTTACAGAAAAAAATATTGACTACGTCTACTTTTACCCCACTATTTCGATTCATCTAAAATCCTTATATTTGCCAAATAATGGAGATTTCGATCGAGAAAATTTCGAATACATCGAGAAAATTTGCATATTTTCTGTACATGCCGTTATACTTTTAAAAGCATCAAAACATTAAAAATCCAAACGTACTTTTAAATTGAGGCTATACCTAATGGGGAACCAATAGTAGCCACTACTTGGGAATAGAAAATAAATCATAAAGTGGACGTTTGTTATAATTTTTTTGACTCAAAAATAACTTTTGAGCGCTTCAAAATTCCTCAAGTCGGCCAAATCAGAGCACAGTTTTTCGAGGAATATTAGGAAATAATATTATATGAGGGCTATATATAACTGAGAACAAATATATACCTTTTTGTAACATCAATCATCCTAAGAATAATATAAAAACCTGTGCAAAGTTTGAAAGACACATATTAAATTTGGTGACCTCTATCCTAATCGCAAACTGTGACATAACTTAATCAACAAAGATTTCTATTCTTTAACATACATTATGAGTTCCATAAGTTTATATAAGTCGATGAACCTTTATTTATGATAGTTAAATTTAAGTCATATTGCCAGGATTTCAATTTAGAAATGATTATCGATTCTGAGGTCCAAAATTCCAAAAAATGACTAGATATGAAAATAATCCATCCAATGAGAACTCGAAATGCAAAATTCATTGGGACTGCAATCAGTGAAATACCGAATATGTAATATGCGCACTATACAAAATAGTGGAGCGAATTGAAAATTTAATAAGAAAAGGATTCAAAGCCTCAAGATCCGCTGGCTGGTGAGTGGAACTATATGAATAATATCATTTCAGAGTATAATAAGCAACGAACAGAAAAACAGTATTTTTCCTTATACGAACGGTTTTTTTCCAATTTGATTATCTATATTTAATTGATCCGATTTCTTGAAAACTGAACTTTTTCAAATTGGCTTATCATATTGAATTCGATCTTTTTTTTGTGATAAAAAAAGAATTATTTTCATCATATAAAAGAAAGTTATGTTAGTTACTTCGCTTATAATTCAAGAAGGGCTTGACGGATTTTAACAATTCATACAATTTCGGAATGGTATCTTGGCAAAAAGCGCATGAAAATATGCCAATAAAAATGTAAATGAAAAAAAAAAAATTTTGGCGTTCAATTTGACATTCTATATTGAAGTGTACATTTTTTATTGTTCTGAATGAATAATATTAAAAATGAAATGAGTGCGCAATACGATGCTAAATGACGATCATTCAAGTATAAAATTGGTATCTAGCTTTCAATTCCAGGACCCACATCGTGCTTCAGCTGGAAGATGCGAACACATTTAAACAAACAAAAATGACCGACAAAGCGTTATGGGGCTCATTTCGAATCCTGGACCTACTTCTTTCATATGACAATAATCCGTCCAATGAGAACTTAAAACGAAAAATTCATTGGAACTGCAATCAGTGAAATACCGAATATGAAGTGTGCAAAATAGTAGAGCTAATTGGACTTTTAACAAGAAAAGAATTTCTATTCTTCCTAAACTTTTAAGATACCATATATCGCTTTTCCAAGTCATGATATGGGTCATAACCCCCGGATAAGTGTACAACCCAAATTCAAGCATATTTTACATTTTATGCCTATTTTTCATACTAATTTCGGCAAATGTTGTTAATTTAAGAAGAAACCATCCTGGCAAAAAATGATTACGCTTTGGTATGGTTTTTAATTGTTGGCTCTTATTTGGCATCTTGGTTTCTAAGGGGGTAGAAAACCTCTTCGCATAAAATTGTAAATTTTCGTAATGGGACCCATGACCACATTCATCAATTGATTTGGTTAAAAAATTGTACTTAGTCTACCTTGTTCATCTTACAGATAATTGTCCACATAGCATTTAGGCAAGTCCTCTTTCCCAACTTATGTTTGGTCAGAAAAGTTTTTAACTCTCAAACAAAAACCTCTTACTGAAGAATATGATCAGGTTTTTTGAAATACGTATTTATTTATACACCTAAGTCTGTTTTTACACGGTCTTTTTGTACACGGTTTGAAAATTGAATATTTTTAATTTATTTACACGATTTTATTCCATTTAGCACGATTTGAAATTTTATGTACTTAAATTTTTTTTGTCAAATTTAATTTTTGCGAAGTATGTTCATATCACAAAAAAGTATTTATGAAAGAAAAAAGTCTGAAACCATCGATAGTTTGCGAACACTAGCTTAAAGATTTAAGTGAATTCCCCTTTAGCGCGTACAAACAAATTTTTACTGGTCAAAGCAAATGTGAATAGCACTATGTGCATACAATAAAATTTACTGGTCAGAGCAATTGAAACGTGTTAATATTTTGTGAACTGTTAATGCAATAAGACGTGTTTGGTAAAGAAAAAAATAAAAATTCTTGTTTTTCACTAATTTTAATAGGTTTTAGAGATTAGGCACAAATCACCCATTTTTGTATAAGATCAATGTCTTTTTACACGGTTTTTTTTTTACACGGCTTCTTCTGGAACCAATCTACCGTGTAAAAACAGACTTAGGTGTATTTAATTGAGTCATCATTTATACAAAAAATTGTACCATTTATGTGAGCCAGATTGTGACATAGGATTTTGCACAAATATGGTCTTCTAAAAGTTACGAATTCAAACTTACTTTTGATTTGGAAAATATTGCTAAGACCTTTATAATACTGACAACTGAGGTTTGAAAATACGATGATATATCGAATATAAAGAGGAAGTAAATCATAAAGTAGACTTTTCGTATTTTTTTTTAACAAATGATTTATAACCTCGAAATGCTTTTGTGGCCTCAATACCTCAAATCGGCAGGTTATATGGGAAATCAGTATTAAAGGACTACACTTAAGTGTACTGAAATCATAAAATGCCACATTGGAGCACATTTTGTGACGAATATTAGGAGTCAGT